GAATCAAATAGGAAGGACAAGAAGAAGAAAACACTGGGATAAGCAGAAGCTGAAGATAAAGCTGAGGCTTTGTGTTCTGAAAACCCAATGAGTTCACAGAAAAGTAAGCAAAATTCAAACTTCTGGAGATCTGAGGCAAACTGCAAAACAAGGCCATAAAAGAAAAATTACATGCAATGGCCTGAAGTCAAATTAAAGATTGATTTCTAGAAGCTAACCTACACTGGAATCATCTTTAAAAGAATAGTGACAACACTGTGTTTATTGTTATATGCCAACAAAACTCATATTTCACAAATGAGGATGGTGACTGTTCTGTGAAATCAGAACCTGGGAGTGATTACCTTCAGGGGGTGGGGCATCATTTAAGGAACTTTAAAATAAGATACTTTGGAAAGAGAAAATAAGCCTCATGGGAGATCTGCTATACACCAAAGAAGCTTGGATGAATATGAACGAGCTGGTGGTGGTGGACGAAGCTAAAGAGTAAAACTAATCCTGGATGATGGGAACACACAAACTAGAGCTGAGCTCAAGTATTATGGATTCTGATATCATTCAGAAAAGGGTAAATATGGATGTTGCCTTGCTTTTGACTTTAAAGATAATATGTGTACCAATATCTTTTGCAGTTGTAAATAAACATGTAAACTTCCAAACTAGGGGAAAATAGAATAAATAAGACTATGGAAGACATTGGTTAATTTATAAAAAAAGAGGTATTGCTGCACAAATGTGAGGCCCTAAGGTCACATCCCCAGCACCCACACCTGATGCCGAGTACTTCTGCACACACCAGCAATTGCAGTGCTGAGAGGTGAGACAGCTGGACCTGGGAGCTTGCTGCCTGACCAGTCAGGCCACCTGATGTGTTCCAGGTTTAAGGAAAGACTGTGTCTCAAAAACTAAGGTGTCAGTGATTGCAAAACACCCTGCCATCCACATCTTGTCTCCACACGTGTGCGCGTGTGTTCATGTGCACACACACACACACACACACACACACACACACACATGCTCACACACAATGCTCACACACACACATGCTCACACCTACTCCCAAACTAACACATACACTCTCACACCACACACAAAAAAGTAAAAAAAAAAAAAATGCATAACAAGATAACCTTTATAGAATTTTCAAACAGCAACCCACACTGAAAAAAAAACTGAAATACAAAGAAAAAGTAAGATTTCAACTCAAAAACAGTAAACTCATGGCCATCAAGCCAGACCTATATGGCAAAATTCCGAGAGAGTGAGAGAACCCAACTCCAGTAAAAGGTGGAAAGGTAACACATACAGAGTTTTATGAGAACGAAAGTAGTTACAATCATCTGACAGATGGCAGGGCTCCTAAAAATCAAGAGGTCAGATATTGCTTGTAAGGTAAAATTGCTACTTACAGATAGCCTTAGATGATTCAACTCCAGTGAGTTGGTTGCAAGACTATCATTTTCTTTGAACAAGACAATAGTTGCTGGATGGAGGGTTTACTGAACAGACCCAGGATTCCTTACCAGAGTCTTTTACAATTGTGTCACTGTAGGTCAAAGGTGACAGCCTACCATCCTGGGCAAGCTAAGTTGTATTGAAGATGGCAACCTTGAAATCCCCATGACACAAGTTGCATACAGAAAGGGTTTTATTTCTGCCTTCCTGACTAGCACTGATCTCTGTCTTTTCCCATGTGTTTTTTGTTTGTTTTGTTTTTTAATATTCAAGAACTCAAGTCTCTTACCCCTCATTCAATTAATATCTTTCCAAATAAGAAATCTGAGGCACTATCATGCACTAATTTTCTTAGGTACCTTTAAAAACGTTCAAAGGCTTAACCAAGAGATTTAACCAAGAGCTCATCTTGTTCAGACTCTCACTGTAGGGATCTCTATTACGATAGCCTACAAATGGAAAGCTAAATGTTTTTATCGCTTTTGCAAGACAACTCTTTCATTTAGGCAGAACTTGGCAATTAGAATTATAAGCAGAACCATGTTTTCAATCAAAAATTATTTGCTTTCTTGGGTTCTTAGTGTTATCATTAGGCTTTCCTATTGATGTTGAAGTACTTTCTTTCATCTAGCAAACTAAAAAGGCAGAAGACACCTAGAGACCAACACCCAAGATTGTTTTGACCACACATGTACATGTATGACCACATGTGCACAAACACATACATACACAAAAGCTAATTGAACAGCCCAAAATCAATGAGGTCATTTGACAGATTTTAATGCAACATCTAGATCACATTTTACCAACACAATTCAGTTCAAATTTTGCTTTCTGTATTAACTTTTTAAGTAGCTTGCAAACCAAAGGTGTCATCATGATAATGCCACATATATGTATCACTGCATAGCTTTTGTTGGCCCTGTTACTGCCTTCTCCATCCTATCTCCTCCATTTTTTCTAGTTCCCTGTCTTACCAAGCAAAAGTCCCTTTTATACATTCTAGTAACATATACATATATGTGTTTACCCATGTCTACAGTCTGTGTGTGAAAGAAAACGTGATATTTTGTCTTTTCCTCCATTGCCATCTCTTGTCTCTCCCCTTTAGTCCTAACTCCTAGTAACACATTTGTTGTTCTTTCTGATTTCCTGTTCCCACATCTTGGTTGTGTTTAAACTCCAGTTGACTCTTTGTATTTTCTCTTTTCACTTTAACTTCTAAAAGTGCTTTTTAGTTTGGAGATTGGAATCATTTTTTAAAACTTCTTCTTTAGTCTCAATTTTAATATAAATTCTCAAAATTTGTTCATTTCCAAGAACAAAAAGTAACCAGGCTATTCTCTGTACTCTCATTTTTATGCAAGAAGCATTTCAATTTGAGTTTAAGATTCCTTTTTGTATTGCTCTCCTGCTAGAAGATGACTATTGTAAACAAGCAAAACTTGTCATGTACCATTACTAGTCTTCGTGACTGGAAGAGAGCACCTCATGATGCTCAGTGCATATCTGGCATTTGGGTCCCTTTAAAGCCTGCAAGGAGAACTCTCTTCTCCTGCTTCCCAACACTGATGAGGTAACTTTCTGTCTCCGGAAAGATTTGGTACCACATAATGGAGAATGGCATTGTACCCCTCCACTGTGAACAGGCTTCATGAGTTTTTTAACTGATATATAATAAATTTATTAACTGACATGTAAATAACACATGCTATCTTAGGTTTTTTTTCCTGTTGTTGTGATAAAATGCCGTAGCAAATGAACTTAAATAAGGGAGGGGTTATTTTGGCTCACAGTTCGGGGTGCAGTCCATCATAGTGGGGAAGTCATGGAAGCAGGGATTTAATCAGCTGGTCACACTGCATCAGCAGCAGAAAGCAAAGAACAGTAACCACAGGTGCACAGACAGCTCTCACGTTTTAACCCATCAAACCGCAAAGGCAGCATGACAAAGGTTTCTTATTGTGGAAACGTTCCCTGAAAGAATTGCAGTTTTGCACTAATGAGTCTTTCCCTCTGTGCAGGATCAGTGAAGTCTACACTCACAGGATAAAGACTCAGCATGCCCAAGGAGTCTTCTCCGTTGCTTGGTTAGGTTGTCCGAGTTCCAGTGAGGCGAATGGTGAATGAACGGTGGATAATCTGATTCCCCGTTGAAGCACAGTATCCCCTCTGGTCATATCCCAACCTCACACATGCGATGCATGTGTGGGAATTGATGGAAACACTCATTGTGCTCTGAAGGCCTGTAGCATTTTGAGACTATTTCTTGTGATTATCTTTTAAAATCCCTCAGCCAGAATTCCTTGAGCTGAGTGAAATGGGAAAATGAAGTACCTTTATTAAGAAATAATTCAAGGTTATAATTTGAGCAACACCTAGGAATGTTGCCTTTTAAGCTGATTTATTGCCTTCATCCTGTATCTTACTTGAAGCATCTACTTTGTATATTGTTTTATTACATTATCAGCCTAGGTGGGTACAAGCTTAAAAAATTAAATCTCTTAAATGTAGAGAGACCAGCTGGGTATATGCCAAGTGATCTGCTTGTGCCATTCAACCTTTTATTTTTGTATGTAAAATTGAACCAATGTATCTCAAAGAGTATGACCTCTTATAATATAAAGGTAGAAACATTTAGAATCAAGCTGCCAATCCATCAGCGCCATACTACATAAATTTATTCTTCCTAACTTTCTCGTCAATATTATTTAAACCAAACTCATTTTAACATTCTTTCCAAGATTATATTTTCTAATGCCTCGGTTTCCTAAATGTCTTTAATTTCATGCTTTATTAATTACCTTATGTTCTTCTAAATACAGGCGCGCATACATTTTTGTGATCATGAAAATACAGCAAAAACAAATTCAGTGACAAGTAAAAATGGGAAGTTATAGATGGGACAGACTTTTACTTCTTTTGTCAACTAAAAGATAAAGTCTAGTGGCACAACTATACTCTTGCCACTTAAGAGGGGGAAGGGGATGATCTCAAGTTGAAGGCTAGCCTGGGCTACATAACACAACCTTGTCTCACAAAGGATACAAGAAATAACATTAGGAGGAAAATTCTTATTTCAAAGAGATAATTTTTTCAAGGTGTTAAACATAATGTATAATAGTTATAATTTTAGTAAAATATTTTCCAGTCTTCCTAACATAAACATATTTCTGAACATCCATTTCATTCCCAGAACTTAAGAAAATAGAACATACACAATATATAAAAGGCTTACAATTTGATAATAAGAGTAGTAAAAAATACCAATGATTTTAACTGTACCCAGAGCAGGAGGTTCTTGTCGTCTCTTCAAGTTTCATAGAAAGACCTGAAATCTTGCTTTCTAAAGCAGCGTGTCTTCCACCTCCCTTCCTCCCTAGAAGAGCTAAAGCTGCTTCAGAAACAGCCTCATGTATGCTGGAGCCATCAGTCTGTTTTTCCTTTGGTTATTTTGATCACTTTCTAACTTCAGACTCAAACACTAGGCTGTGCCTCCAGGTTCCCCACTTTAAGACGCATCTCTTTTTCCTCTCACACTACAGAGTCATCAGAATTTGGTCCATCCCTGGTGATCCACACCACTGTCCCATTCGGAGTTACACACATGGAGCACAGGGAGGAAGATGTGCAGCAGATAATCAGCCAGCAACTGGAAACCATTCTGCCGGGTTTGCCTCAGCCGGTTGCTACCAAATGCCAGAAGTGGAGGTATTCACAGGTAATCAGAGAAGATAGTGGGAAAGCCTGGGCGTTTTCCGGCACAGCTAGCAGAACTGATGTCACTTTGTATTCTTCACCATTCTCTAGTAGGAGAAATGAATGATGGCATCTTGGAAGTTGATGTCGGTTTGTCAGACACACACGTAATTTCTGTAGGTGCCATTGTCCTGCTATTTCTCAATGAGATGTTCATGTCACTTCTACCAGTTTTTTCCACGTCCCAGCGCACCCTGAAATTCTGGGGTTTCCTACGAAGGCAAGACAGGCTGTATATCCTAAAGGAGCTGTTTCTCTGGGGGGTTTCCGAATTGACACTGTGTCCGTGTGGTAGCCCCTTTATCTACCTGGATTTCTGCAGTATGTCACATCAGCATTGTGTGCAGAGTTAGTTGCCAGCATTTTCTTTTTTACTGAGTTTTTACTTCAGTTTGAGTAGTGACAGCAGAGATCTTTCATGAGTAACTCTAGAATACTGAACTGAGCTGCCTTCCAGGGTAAGCTTATCATTCTTCTAGGTCAGCCTTAAAGCTCTTAATGCAGAGTAAATCTTGACTTAAACGCACAAACACTTTTTACTGGAGTTGGAATACTGTTCTCGGAAATGTCTTTGGGTCTGTAAACTCGTTGTGAAGTCATGTGGGGGCCAACTAAGCAAAGGTCGGATTGAGTGAAGATGAAAAGCTGCAGAGACCTGTGTTTTCCCCCTAGGGTTTCTGAGCCCATTGATGAACAGATTTGTGAGCACTATTGGTTATCCAAGCTGTAAGACCTTCAGAAAAAAAAAAGTGGTGTTATGGGAAATCGCAGCAGATTTTGTATGTTTTAACGGGCCATCCAAATTAGAGGAAATAGTAAATTACTCACTAAAATATTGCAGCAGGTCTGTGTTTACCCGTATCTGCTCAAGTTAAATTATACAGTGAACCTTTGGGGAAAATATTTACTTAAGCATGTCATAGTCACTTTAGAAGACTTTGCTCTTTCCTTTTAAGAGCATTGAAAAATCTCAATAGCTAGTGTCTCTAAATGATGGTTAACTCAATTTTAGGTTGACTTGAAAAAGAAGCCAGGGAAAGAACCTTGTGATAATTTGAAACTGAGTGTATTGAACTATATTGTGGTAATTTGAAGCTGGTATATTGTACTTAAGTCATTTTGCCTATTGTAAATACTGTAGCACAAAAAATTAAAAGACCCAGAGACAGATATTGGGGTTCAAACTTCAAGCTGAAGATCAGAAAACAAACCAGCCAGGCACTAGCTCTTACCTCTACCTCAGACTGAAAGGCAATCCTGGCTCCACCAAACCTTAGACTGCAATCCCAGACTGCCATACTGTCCTCAACATGGCTAGAAATCCTGAGACTGAATGTGACTGGAGAATGAATGCCAGCTCTGAGACCCGGTTCCTATCTTAAATACCTCCACAATGTTGGGATTAAAGGCATGTGATCTCAGCACTTGGGATCAAAGGCATGAGCTCTGTTACTCTTCACTCTAGTGTAGACTATGGTGGCCTTCAACTAACAGAGATTGGTCTAATCCTCTTAATCCTGACTCCTGGGATTAAAGGTGTGTACCACCACTGCCTGATCTCTGTAGCTTGAGGTTGCCTTTGCTTTCTGAGTCCTTAGGCAAGCATTCATGAATCATGAATAATGAATCACCACAAAATACACCTTTAAAAGAAGAGTAGTTTGTCAAGTTTCTTCTTGTGTTTTTCTCATAAACAATTTACTAGTAGACAAAAACATAGTTTGTGAATCTACTCATTTCTTATAATTCATAATATTCTAAAATTAACCTTGTCCTAACCATAAAAAACGTTGTACAATATCACAAAAGTTAATCAAATTTAATCAAGAGATTATTTTGAACACAATGCATATCCCAAACTCTAGCAATGGTTTTAATTGTAATTTAAATGTTGTAATCATTCCACTGCATTTACAACTCTGTAGACTTGGAAGCTATACTGGCTGCAAAGCCTGCAAGGAGACAAGCTATTATTCAGGCTTTAATGCCTGCATTTCCATTGTTCATACACTTCTCTAGGGTCTTGAATAGCAATCTACAAAGAGTAACATTGTTATCCGTGGTGAACTTCTCACCTATACACATTAGAAAAAAGGAATGGCCAATGAAAGGTCAAGCAACTTGAAATAATTTACTTACTTTTAGGTATTCTTCTCAAACAGTATGTCCCCAGTGCTTCTCAATGGTCCATCTTAACCTCTGGGATTTGACAGAAAAGTGTGTGCCCTCTAAGCCTTGCCATCATGGTACAAGTGGCCTTGCTTCAACCAATCAGCATTCATTTGTGTGAAAAGTTGGACATAATACAGTATTAAACTGATAAGAAGAAGAATGTAAAATAGAGGCACACAAAAGAAGAACAAGGGGGCTACATTTTCAGTGCCCTCTCCCCCATGTTCTGAGCAGAGACAGAGCTTTTGAGGAGGAAACCCCACCATTTCTGTTTTGACTAGGTCCTACCATGTTCCTTCTCCTTGTCTCTCCTCCCTTGCCTTCCTTCTGTTCTCCACTCATCTCATTCCTTTTCTTCTCTTTCTCCAAGAAACAAAATGCCAGAGCCCTCCTCACCTTTATATTATGGAAGTTTCTGTAGACTATAGAGCTAGAATCTCTGTCCCAAACAGTGCTAGGTAATGTGGATTCCCTATTCTAGAGCCTGCAGGATCCACACTTTCTCTCCATCAATTTCTTTTCTTCCTTTTCTCCTCTTTTGAACTGTATCTTGGCACTAAGTTCCAGGAAGGGGTAGAGGGACTGGGCTCAAAGCTGGGTAACTCAAAGATATGATCTTATTTAATGTCAGAAGTTGACACACAATTGGAATAGCCAAAATGTAAAAGCTTGATAACATATAACACTAGTGAGGGCAGAGCAGCAGTAACTCTCACTCATGACTTGTGGGAATACAAACTAGTAGAGTCATAAGTAGACATGTCAGTAGCTCCTTAGAAAGCCAGACAGTTGGGAAAAATGGAAAAACTGGCTAGGCTAGCAAAGATTTTTCAGGTATTGGAAATATTCTGACTCTATAATAGTAAATTACATTACATATTTGTCCTAATCCATAAATATACAATATTGAAGATGAATCCTAATATAAGCGATAGAGTTGGAGTATTTTATTTTCCTCATTGTTATGACAAAATACCAATATAAAAACAGTTTAAAGAAAGGACAGGGGCTTGGGAGGTAGGATCATGGTTTGAGGAACAGTACAGTAGAGATGGCTACAGGAGCATAAGCCAAATAATACGTTCCTGCAGTCAGAGAGCAGAAAGAATGAATACTGATTCTCAGAACTCTTTCTCTTTACCCTCTTAATTCAATTAAGAACCTCAGCCACTGTGAAACTTCTACCCACATTTAGGGTGTGTCTTCTCTGCTTAAACATCTCCGGTAACACTTTCACAGGCACACACAAAGATGTATCTCTTAGGCAATTCTAAGTCAAGACAATGAAAGACCAACCATCATGGGATGATAGGACATGTGAATTTAGATTCATTAATTTCATTAGCTCACAGATCTAAAAGCTAACAGACAAAACAGCATTGTACTGGTCCCCGTGAAGGCCCCATTGGCTAAGTCACCCCATGGTGCATCATAGTAACAAGAGAGAGCAAGCATGAGAGATGACCTGGGGATGGGGATGCATGAAGCCAGAATCAGAGTTGGGGGAGCTCAATTATGACAATGACTCTCACAAGAAGGAGCTCAGAGTCCAACAACTATCCCCAACCACCCACCCGGCTCCCACTGAACTCCATCTCCTAAATGTCCTAATGCTGCCACACAAGGAACATAGCTTCCAGCAGCATGAATCCCTGAAAGACACCCAGAAACTATATCCACACCAAAACATTTACCTTAAAAAGTACCCATAAGAATAATACATATACATATTTTAAAAATCCATCATCAAACCCCAAATAAGTCATATAAACACATTGTGCTTTAAAAGATTCTTGAGCCTGCTAGTGTTATCCCACTGTAATCGTGAGAAAACAAAGGGTCAGGGAGGAAAAATTAACTTCCTTATGCTCCCATGGATAATAATGGCATCGTGGACCATAGATTCATCAAAATACTCCTCCCTTTTGGGCAGCTAATCATTCACAGGTTCGAAAGATTACGATGTGAACATCTTTGGTAAGGGCTTTATTTCTTTCAGTCACACCATCTTTCCTCTGGTTCCTCTGGCGGATCCTTCTAAGGTCCCACATAAAATCTTAAGGGAAAGCATTGGCACTTCCAGGCTCCAGCTGCTATCTTAAAGAAATTGGGGGGGGGGTATTTGTACATGGGGAGCAGTTTCTCATTTTCCTGTTGTTCTCCAGGCCCATTTCCATCTCCAGCGCATGTTCACTTGCCTATCCCATAAAGAACGCCTTCAACATCACCAGTTTCCCTTCCGAAACCAGAGAGACCAGTGTCTGCTGAGGCTCTAAGACTCTAAATTGAATTTTGTCTTAAACAACATAGTGGTACATTTTTGCGGGTGCTGCAAATGAAGGGAAAAAATGTGTTTGGACAAGTTGGCAACTGTTCCGATGGTTCTCATCTAGGGTTTGGATAAAATTCCTCAGCTTCTGGGTTTGGGTTTAACTTAAGAGAGCAGTGGCAGATTTTCTAAAATGCTTCTCATTTCTTCCATTCACATCAATTTCCCCTCCATAATTTCAGTGTTTATCCAGTTAATGTAATTTGGTGTTTGTTTAGTCCATACAGCATTTCATTAAGGGTTCTGAACAAGTTGGTTATTTTAACACTTTTAACAGAAAAACTATCACTGAAAATGCCTTTCCACATAACCTGACATGGGACACTCCAGTGTGCCACTGAGTCTGCTGCTGGCCCTGCAGCTCACCTGCTGCCCTCACTACCACTGCCCCATGCTTTCCTTTCTTTCAGGGTCTACTTTGGAGACTCCTTAAGCTGTTGCTGGTGACTGGTTGGTATTGA